TCCCAGCCTTTGTTGTGTGCACCTTCTACATTTTGCATTTTTCTAATAACAGCTGCCTATTTGAGATACTCTGCTAGTTACATAATTTATAATATCACTAATCCTCAGAACTCTGCAAAGTAAAATATTACGAAACCTACCAAGGCAACCAAGGCAAAAAGTTTTTCATTTTCCCAAGCTTGAGCCCCCAAAGATTACAAGTGTGTAAGCTCTTAAGCAGGCAGCAGAACCACAGCGTCTGATGGCTTTTGTTATGAGTGGCATCCACTGTCATCTCTAAGCTAATTTTCAGACAAGAAGTTCTGCAGAATTACTTTTTTTAAAGGGTCAGTGATTACCTGTAGGTTCTTTTTCTTTCTTTAACTGACTCCTGTACGTGTCAATCAAAACTATTGATGCATGCAAAAAAAATTTTTAGAATGGGGCACCTGGGGGGCTCAGTCCTTGAGCGTCTGCCTTCAGCTCAGGTCATGATCCCAGGGTCCTGGAATTGAGCCGCACGTCCGGCTCCCTGCTCTGTGGGAAGCCTGTTTCTCCCTCTCCCACTCCCCCTGCTTGTGTTCTGGCTCTCTATCTCTCTCTGTCCAATAAATAAGTAAAATCTTAAAAAAAAAAAGTTTTTAGAATGGGTACTCGTAAGGGGCAATATTAAAGTAAATGGGGGGAAGACCCCCCCAAAACACAAAAAACTCTGCAGACCAAGAATTACATTTCAAATTCTTTCTAGGCCTGCAATCCATGAGGAATTTGTATGCAGAACATCCTCTTCCTGAAGTGTCCTCCCCCTTCCCTCTTAAGCACCCAGGTCAGTAGAAATTCTGGCTCTTGGCTGAGGCCTCCCCCACAGACCTCACCTCAAATATAAAGGTCCTTTTGATAACATTCACAGTTCCAGTCTGATTGCTCATTTGATCAGTTGATCAGAGTCTGCCTCGCATTTTGATTTAAACGTGTCCTGAGCTTTGGCTTTGCTTCCCACTATTTTCACTATAGAGGGCACAAGGGCAAAGAGCCACACTTCTTTTTTCTTTTTGTAGCAAGGTGGTGCTATGTACGTAGAAGTTCCTCAGTAATATTTAATTAGTGATTCCATAGGTGAAAAATAAGTGAATTTGGAATAATTCAGGGAGTAGGTAGATTGGGCTGATACAAATAACAACTGACATTTTTAAAGGTACTTTAAGGTTTATAAAATGCTTCTCAGACAGTCTCATTTGTACCTCAGAATAACCTGCGGAGGAAATTGGCTTGGAGAGGTGAAGAGATTTGCTCTTGAAACTCTTCCTTCCAAGTTTGTACTATTTCCACGATAAGTTGACTCTAAGTACAAATATAAGATTAAATCTGGAGATGGACCGCCGCATAAAACGTCCTCACCAGCAGAGGGCGCAGGACCACGTATGGGTCTTAAGACTATGACAGGTTTGTGTACTGGCCCAGTTAACGAGCTAGATGTCATTGGGCAAATAATTTAATTTTTCTGAGCCTTGTCTGTAAAATACTGATAATAACACACCACCACCCCTCCTTGCAGAGTGCAAAGGATTGGAAATAGAAATATTCTGTGGCCAACACACAGTAGGTGAACAATAAACCATACCTCTCATGATCCCTATAAGAGAATCGATCACAGGAACAGTGTGGAGGTTAAATAAGATACTGATTCTTGGGGCGCCTGGGTGACTCAGTTGTTAAGCGTCTGCCTTCGGCTCGGGTCATGATTCCGGGGTCCTGGGATCGAGCCCCGCATCTGGCTCCCTGCTCAGCGGGAAGCCTGCTTCTCCCTCTCCCACTCCCCCTGCTTGTGTTCCCTCTCTCGCTGTGTCTCTCTCTGTAAATAAATAAAGAAAATCTAAAAAAAAAAAAAAAGATACTGATTCTTGGTTGATGCTTTAATAAATATTTGAAATTAGTCTGCATGTTTGCCACCTGAAATAGACAAAGAGTTATATCAGATGGACAAAGAAATGAAGATTGATGAAAAAATTGACATTGCTGGCAAGAGTATAAAGGAACAAACTGCACCAACCTATTTGGATGGGAAACCTTAGAAACATGGTACTGCATTTGCCCCAGCATCTGTCTAACTAAGAAGATACTGGACGGTAGCAAGATGTAGAAAAACCAAGGAAGTCATCACCACTCTCTTTATAACAGCAAAGGTGGAAACAACCTAAATGTTCAATATAGGGTACAGGTTTAATAATTATAATCTCTCCACTGACTTGAACACTATGCAGCCATTAAAATGATCCTATAAAAGAATATTCTAAATGAAAAGATGACCGCAACACAACAAACAAAAATCACGAGACATGAACAGCGTACTTTCACTTGTTTAAAAATACAGGACAGAAATAAAAAGTTTAACAGTTATCTGCATAGCAGATGAGATTGTTAGTGATGCTTTTTTATTAAAACTTCTCTTTACTTACCTTATTCTCTAAATGTTGTGCAATTACCGTTAGTCATTTTTGTAATAAAAAATCGTTACCGTGAACAGAGTTGGTGTCTTTCATTTAACACTGCCTGCAGGCACAACCAGGCCAGTGGTCATGCAAATTCAGTTAATTGTAATAAAGCCACTTGGAAGTTTCAAGGTAGTTAGTTAAACAAAATAATTAAACTCCTAATGAAATTTCACAGAGTTGGTCACCAAGCTTTGACTTAGCCGCTGTAAGGCTGCTATAAACAGATCCCATTCTCTACTTTTTCAAAAGGCCTAAAAATGGCATAAAATATGAACAGTTGTTCATGCAAAGGGCCATGTGCCATGTTTGTCCTGAGCAAATGTAACCTGAAACTCACCCATATCTCATACACTCCAGGTTGGCTGCACATCTCTGGTGTATTTGCTCCACATTACTCAATTTACTTTCCTGAACTTGAAGTGGAGTGGAATTTCAATGTAGAGTTACCCATTAGTTCCAGGGCTAAATTTAAACCTTTAATTAAATTAATCCCTTGATCTTAAACACACTGCTTCTCCTTCAGAAAAGTGTAGAGAGGTGTCTTAGCTGTCGCAGAGCTTAATAAAGTGTGACAATTGTTCCTTACTACATTTGGTAAGTCACCCAAACTGCACAGGGAAACCGGTACACATTTTTTCAGATGGCTCCGGGGGCCCCCTGGCCTCCCACCCCCCTCAGCCAACACAGGCATTTGTTGGGGCTAGGGCCCCGACGAACAGCATTCCATGACTCCTCCCAGGTCCAGAGTTGCTGCTCTGGAACAGTCATCGAATCCTTGGGCAGGTACCCCATCTTAAGAGAAGACATGGTAGGTGCCAAACGGATGTTTATGAAATAAATGACAGAAAGTAACCATCCAATTGTTCCCAGTTTATACGGGATAAAAAGAGATCATAATCCACGAAATGTGCAGGGTGACAAGGGGAAAAGGGTGTGAGGCCATCATAGCTTATTTCGGTCTTCACAGAGTAAAAATTGACGTTGGCCTTTGCTAAGAGAGAGATGAAAAGTGACAGCGCCATCAAATGGGGATGTGTAAATTAGTCGGCCCATACAGAAGATGTTCAAATGAGCCTGGGCTCTTACGCACCGAGGGTGTACATTTATCTCAGGGGCTGCACCTCGGCCTGCGAATGAATGAGACACAAACTTAGTGGTTAAGCGACAGCTTTAAGGTGGGACTATCCACGTAAGGGGTTGTGGACCTGCCCGTGTAACTATAAATAAGGACCTATTTCTCAGGGCCCAACGGCTGCGCGGCGTCCAGTTAACAAGCTCGTAGGCCAAATCTCAGCGTCCCTCCGAGTAACTATCCTGCAGACCCACAACTCTCCCGGGACCACATCCTCAAACCGCGACTCCGGGGTTCAGCTCGCACCCCCAATTCCCAGTGCGGGCGCGGCGGCGAAACGTGCTCGCCTCCCTTAGCTGGCTCCCGCGCGCCCTGGGAGCCACCAATTCCCCGCAGGAAGCTCGGGCTACCTGGACCGCCGGCAGATCCCCCGCCCCGCCACCCGCTCGGCTTTGCCTTCCTCCTCCTCTTCCTCCTCCTCCGGCCCCTCGCCTCCCGCCGCCTGCCTCCGCGGCCGCCGCCTGCGGCTTTGTTTTCCTCCCAGGTTTCATTCCCCACACGTGATACTGTGTTATTGCAAAGAGCGCTTCGGAGCGCGAGCGCAGGGCGCGCGCACCTATAAATACGGACTCCCGGGCCGGGTGGCAGGAGACCGCAGGGGCGGGGAGGGCCCGGGACCAGGCGATCGGCCGCCGGCCGGCCAGCGAGCCAGCTAGCCGCGCG